ACGCCATTTGGCCCTTCAAACCCGCACCGTCATTCAATATGATCATGGAATCTCAGTATCCCATTCTCGCCCTCTCCCCATATCCCTTGATCTCTTTAGCCACAAGGGCCACATCCAGCTCCCTCTTGAATGTATCTAATGAACTAACCCCAACTGCTTCCTCTGGGGGATAATTCCACAGGTTCACAACTCTCTGAGTGAAGAAATTCTTCCTCATCACAGTCCTGAATGGTTTACCCTTTATTCTTAGACTGGGACCCTAGTTCTGGACTTCCCCAACCTTGGGAACATTCTTTCCACATCTAACCTGTCCAGTCCCATCAGGATTTTGCATGGTTCTATGAGATCCATCTCATTCTTCTAAATTCCAGCAAATACAAGCCCACTCGATCCAGTCTTTCCTCAAATGTCAATCCTGCCATCCCCGGAAATCTGTCTGGTGAACCTTCGCTGGTCTCCCTCAATAGCAACAATGTCCTTCCTCAGACTGTGAGACCAAAATAGCTCACATTACTCAAGGTGTCGCCTCGCGAAGGCCCTGTATAACTGCAGCAAGACATCCTTACTCTGATATTCAAATTCTCTCGCTATGAAGGCCACATGCCATTAGCTTTCCTCACCGCCTGCTGCACCTCCATACCAACCTTCAGTGACTGTTCCACCATGGCACCCAGGTCTCATTGCACCTCATCTTCTCCTAAACTGCCACCATTCAGATAAAAGGCATTTGTGGGAAGAAAGCAGAATTAACATTTCAAATCTGGTGACACTCCATCGGAGCTCACGTTCCTTAATGCCTGAAAGAAAGAGGCAAGTGGAAGGCAGGACAGTTCTGAGATAGCACTAGGTGATGCAGGTAGAGACAGGTAGAGAGAGAGGTTGAGAGTATGCATATAGCTGTGTATGGCACGGCGTGCAAATTTCAGGATACATGAGAACGGCTGTCTGAGGAATGTTGTACATCACAGAGAAAGAACATAGAGCAGTACAGCAGAGAAATGGGCCCTTTGGCCCACCATGTCTGAACCAACCATGATGCTATTCTAAACTAATCCCACGTGCCTGCACATGGTCTCTATCCCTCTGTTCTCTGCCAATTCATGTATGTGTAAATGTCTCTTCAACATTGGTATTCTATCTGCTACCACCTCCCCTGGCACCACGTTCCCGGGACCTACCGCCCTCACACATCTCCTTTAAACTTTCCCCTCACACCTTAAATCTTTCCTCTCTGGTATTTGTTGTTTCCATTCTGGGAAAAGGACTCTGACTATCCACCCTATCCATGCCTCTCATAATTTTATATACTTCTATCAGATCATCCCTCAGCCTCCGATGCTCTAGCGAAAGCAGCCCAGGTTTGTCCAACCTGTCCTTACACTCCAATCCAGGTAAACCTCTTTTGCAACCTCTCCAAAACCTCCTTGAGGGGAGATGATGGCTTTGTGGTTTTATCGCTAGACTATCAATCCAGAAACTCAGCTAATGCTCTTGGGATCCAAATTCAAATCCCACCATGGCAGATAGTGGAATTTCAAATCAACAAGGAATTTGGGTGAGGTTGTTGACTTGCTCACTGAGCTGGGCTTGTTTTCGTTCAGACATTTCATCACCATGCTAGGTGACATCATCAGTGGACCCTCCGATGAAGCGATGTTATTCTACTCTGCTTGGAATTTATACTGTCCGGTCAGTTATGGTGTGTACTGTCATTTCCGGTTTTGTTCTGTATGGGTTTGTATATGGGGTCTAATTCTATGTGTTTGTTGGTTGAAATATGGGTGGAGAACCATGCCTCTAGGAATTCCCATGCATGTCTATGTTTGGCTTGGGCTACTATGGTGACCTTGTCCCAGTTAAATTGGTGGCCTTCATTGTCTGAATGTACTGACATTAAGGAGAGTTCATTGTGCCATTTTGCTGTGAGCTGGTGTTCATGTATTCTGATGGTTAGTTTCCTTCCTGTCTGTCTGGATTTAAGGGCCTAATGATAACCACTAATCCATTGTCAACTATCGGGAACAACCCACCTGATTCACTAATGTCCTTTAAGGAAGGAAACTGCCATCCTTACCTGGCCTGGCCTACACGTGACAGTGATACTCCAGGTGTGAGTGTGTGTGTGTGGATAGTGATACTCCAGGTGTGAATGTGTGTGTACGGTGATGCTCTGGTGTGAGTGTGAGTGTGAATAGTTATACTCCAGGTTTGAGTGTGAGTGTGTATAGTGGTTCTCCAGGTGTGAGTGTGAGTGTGAATGGTGATACTTCAGGTGTGAGTGTGAGTGTGTATAGTGATTTCCAGGTGTGAGTGTGTGTGAATAGTGATACTTCAGGTGTGAGTGTGTGTGGAAAGTGATAACCCAGGTGTGAGTGTGTGTGTGGATAGTGATACTCCAGGTGTGAGTGTGAGTGGATAGTGATACTCCAGGTGTGAATGTGTGTGGATAGTGGTACTTCAGGTGTGAGTGTGTGTGTATAGAGGTACTCCAGGTGTGACTGTGAACGTGTATAGTGGTACTCCAGGTGTGAGTGAGTGTGAATAGTGATACTTCAGGTGTGAGTGTGTG